AATGAACAAGTATTGTGTCATTGTTGTCATTTAAGCAGTATACCCAATACAATCCTAACAGAAAAGCTGATTGACAAGGTGCTAAAATCAGGATAAATGAAGTAATTTGTAAAAACAAAAAAAGAAAATGGCAGTAATACCTCATATCGTGCTGATGAGCTACCCTTAATTACTGCAGGGGAAATTCCTTCACTGTGACAGCCTTAATTGTGCAGGAATATCTGTCTGCATGTGTATGATCAGCTGGCACAGCACCTTGCCAGATGACGTCACATTGAGTCACGCTAAAGGTTTGGTTCAACTGTTTTTTGCTGGATCCCCGTGCATTGGCATCCTTGCTGCGCTGCCAGACTGGCTCCATTTTGTCTCACACACTTAATTTAACCCTCAGCTCACAGACTAGAGTTCAGTAACTTCCTCGTTTTTCTCCACTGACTACAGCAAAAACAGCAATCAGTGCTGCGTTCAGCACCACTCTGTTTCCTCTGCTCAGTAAGAAGATATTGTCATTATGTAGGTCGAATGTGACATAAGATATGTCAATTTCCTCGATACAGTCGATGTGTCGAGCAAAAGACAAAGACTGTGGTTGTGTTTCTGTTTCACATGAGGAGGGAGAAGGTGGCAGAGCAGCATTCATCTTATTAAACCTGGCATGCTGCAGCTTTGAGTGTTTACAAGAACTTGAATCAACTGTTGAGCTTTCCAAGTCGAGTGTACTGGAAGGTGAAACTGATACTGAGATGGTTACTGTAAATGATATCTGGAAACAGAAAAGTTGTGGATGCATCGTTACCCGTAAATGTAAGATATTTGTATATGTGATACATGCTAGTGTCACAGTCAGCCTCTCCAGGATGTTGCAATGTCCCATTGCAAGAATTAATGCAAAGTCAGCCAATCCCTGAACTCTGTGCCTTGCAAGTTTGTCCAGTCACCACAACTTTTCCTGCAAATTTGACCAATCACCAACCAAAAATTTAACCAATCTACCCTCCGTGTTTCTGGTTGTGAAGATGCAGACATGCAACACGAATGTCTGGCATTTACCAACAAAAATTACCGCTAAAGACAGTGCAAGACAGCTCCCTGATGTTCTGCGCGAAAGCGGGGTAAACTGTTTTGCACCGTGTGTGATGTTGTGGTGGAAAAATCTTCTACATCTGTTCTACATCTTCTTCTACATCTATTGCTCGGGCTGAAAGAATCAAGCTGAATTAAACATGCACAGTTAGTGGTAGCATCAGTGTAGTATCAGTTAAACCCGGAACAGTACGATTTTATTCTCAATGGAAGAAGTTGCACAAAAGAAATTGCAACCAATTTCGCAATTTTTGCTTGCTCCTGCAATGTCACTGCAGCATGCATTGCAGTTTTTTAGAAATACTGATGTGTAATCAGACATTTCAAGTCGCAACAACCCCCAAAAAAGCCTGTGAAATCCTGGAGCGACTGTATACTGCTCATGTTTCAAAGGATAACTTGTTAATTTGGACTTTATGACTCTAATATCTGTTTGTATATCCTCTCTAGCATGGACCAAGATGAAGAGATGGATACCACTCCTCTTGCTCAGCCTTTCTTCATGATTCACCAGGAGAAAGGAATGGGCAGTGGCGATGAGGAGAAACGAGAGGGAGATGACAGTGATGGTGGACAAGATGAAGATCCAAAGTGCCTGCCTGAAGAAGAAGAGGAAGAGGAAGAGGAGGAGGTCAGTGCTACCAAGAAAGCCTCTACCAATGACAGGCGAGTAGAAAACGGAGAGAGCGCCAAAACAAACGGCAACCACCACTCTGAAAGCGAGGAGAGCTCAGAAGAGGAAGACATGGAAGAAGAGGATCAAACAGCGGTAAAGGTGATGAAAAGTCTCCCAGTTTCTTCTACTCCACAATGCCAGACTTTTGCCAGCTGACAGTGATCTCCAAGCTGAAGACAGATGACTCACTCACGGCGAGAAACCCCCCCCAGGAGGGGTCGTCTTATCTCAGACCATTAGTTGGACTGACACGCAGAAAATGTGGCAGTGCAGGAAGACACAGAGAGACAGGTGTGGAGTGATGATGATGATACAGATAACAGGCCTCTCTGTGCATTCCACGTCTCAGTGGCTCGTAAAGACTTTCTGTCCTATGCCAGTGACTAAATCGTGCATCACTTCTTCCATTCAGAGTATGAGCAGAATTTAGAGAAACTTAACCAGCCTGATTTTCTCAGACAAAGTGGACGTGACAGAGTAAAAGAGGAGAAACTGAAGGAGGACAGAGCTGCTTTAACATTTAGGCTCCGAGCCAGAGTGATCCTCCCCCTCTGCAGATACCAGCAGCCATTGTCTAGTACTGCATTGATGCACAGTCCTGATCTACCGGCTCGACCACAGCAATACAAAAGGTTGCTTATACAACCACAGATGCTTTTAATGACATAACCACAAATGTTTATAAAATAAAAATCTGTTCTTTGTGATTTAAAATGAGTAATTTGTTCATATAAAGTGAGGCAGCATCATTTTTATAAACAGCAAATTCATCACTCATTCACTTGCTAAGTGACTGCCTGATTGCATAGTGGAAACATGGAGAAAATCCCTGTTGGGTGTGTGGAGTTTTCTGCTTTCATTGCAGCATAGCTCAGGAAAGTTTGGGTGGGGTGTGTCACAGAGCTTTTCACACTCAATCAATCAAAGTTATATTTTTGGCATGAACAGTTGCAGCAAGTGATCAGGGTTGATTACAGACTTAATAGCACATGACAAAATCAAAATTAACTGTTACATTTATCTTCCGTGGATAACTCATTCTCTGTAGATGTTGAGGTATCGTTGCTCTAATATGCGCTGATGTGTGATTTTTTTTTGTTTACCATCACATACGTTCTTCCATTTACTCCTTACTGTCTCTCCCCCTGGATATGCTAACTGGATGGAAATATGTTAAGAGTTTGAATCTGGTATCTTTCAATAAGAGAAAAATAATTTGACAGTGTGATTGAACATGTAGGGTTATGAATCGCAAACTTTCCATACCTATGCCCCAATACTACTTTAATATTGAACAGCATTTTTGTGATGGAGCAATTTTGTTTCTGACATTGTGAATGGTCATGGAAATTTCATTTTGCGGTCTTCAAAAGACACGAAAAGGACATTTTTGTCCATGAAAATGTGTTGGAACCCTGCATCAACAAAATGAATCAACCATTTTAATATCAAATGTTTGATTTTTATGACGGAGGCATTATGTTTTCGGTTTGTCTGTCGCTCCATCAGTTCCACTCGTGAATTCGAGTTTTGAGGGAATGCCTTGAGGGAATATCTTCACTTTGGCACAAACGTCCACTTGGACTCAGGGATAAACTGGTAAGAATGTGGTGGTCAGAGGTTAAGGTCACGCGGCTTTTGGCAGTAACTCAAGAATTCATACACTGATTATGACAAAATTTGACACAAATTTCTATTCAGCTCCGAGGGAGTCCAGTGGGAGCTTGAAATAAAGTCGCGCACATTTGTGTGAAAACGGGTAGGTTGAGGTGGTTCAGGATCCTCCTGGGTGCCTCCAGTTGGAGGTGTTTCAGGCACGTCCCACTGGTTGGACAGACCCAGAACATGCTGGAGGGATTATATATCTCATCTGGCCTGTGAACGCCTTGGGGTCCCTTAGGAGGAGCTGGAAAGCGTTGCTGGGGAGAGGGATGTCTGGGGTGCTTTGCTTGGCCTGCTGCCCCCGCGACCCTACTTTAGATAAGTAGATGGAAATGGATGGATGGATGGATGGATGTTTATTCAGCTCCTCCAAGATGTTGCGATCCCAACACACAAATTCAGTAAATCCTCAATCCTGTGCAACTTTGCAATGTTGTCCGATCACTGCAGCTTTTCCGCAATTTGACCCATCATCATAGCTTACTGCGAATTTGCCAGTCACAGTCATAATCCTCCACATAAGGTCGCCAAACTCACTTCCTTGTTTCTGGTTGTGAAGATGCAAACGTGCAACACAAACATCTCACATTTTCCTACAAAAATTACTGCTAAAGATTGTGCAAGGCAGTTCCCCTGCTCCCATAATGTCATTGCAAACAAAGCCTAAAAGCATTTCAACATTCATCGCAATTATTTTCTTTTTCTTTTTTTAAAAACTGCCTGGAAATCAGAGAATTTATACTGCAGCAATTCCAAAATTAGCCCACAAAATCCTGGAGGGGCTTTCTTACAGGATAAAATGATGCATCTATGAAATTTTATATTCAAAAAGGTCATAGGTCAACTTCACCATGACATCATAATGTAACACTTTTCTGGCTATTATACAATGCTATAACTGAGGAACAGATGTTTAAATTCAATTTAATTCAATAGAATTTTATTTAAACCAAAGGAAATTATTGCACCAGAGAATGCTTCAAATTACAGTAACACTAAGTACAGTAACCACAATTTAACTTTATAACCAGTAACAACCATAACAACCAGTGGGCTCCCTGGGTCAGGGCCCCTCAGTGGGGCCAGTTTTAGAACAATAGCGTATTAAATATCTGGCAAAATATAAAAGATAAGAAGTGTTTTCAAGGAGCAAAGGCAAAATCAGTGTCTCATAGAGTTAACAATAGGAGTGGAATAAGTACAAGAATAACTAAAAATGAACTAAAATGGTGGAAAAATCCGACTGCGTCTGATAATGTTATATTGAATATGATATGAGAATGAGAAGTAGTACCATTTGGCCAGATACTGAAATGGTGACACAAATCTTGGGTGCCCATCTTGAAACTGACAATTGTATAGCTCTCATGGGCTGTCAAGTTGAAGATGTGCGTGAAGCATCCACATTTCACCAAAAAATACACTCAATACCTTTTATTACATTTCTTTAAATTCTTCACTATATTTATTTAATGAGTCTGGACAGATATGGATGTAAACTGCAACTTGACTGGTTGGCCGAGGCATACAACTCTAAAAAAAACAACTCTTTCTTAAAACAAGACATTTGAAGACGACATCAAGTGTCCCCAAAAATGCTTTTATTCGTTCCAAGCTCTTCAGTTACGTGAATACAGTCAGAATTTACATAATCAGGCTCCTGCTATTTACACAAAACCCATTCTTCAACTTGCTTCACCAGGAAATAGAATGTCCCGCACACTCTGGTATGTCAGACATTTACTTTCGCAGGAGTCACGAAAACAAATCAATCTCTTTCGGTCTGTGCACCCATCACAGTTAACATGCATATAAGGCACAACAAAAGGTTTCCAGTATGGAAAATAAATAATCATTCAAAACAGTTAGACTGGATGTGCTTTGTGATTAATCATACACATATATGTATATTGGCTGATTTTGCTGAAGGTCTTTGAACACTATACATGTTGTGCAACTTGTTGGCAGTCTCTCTTGTAAGATGCAAACATTAACAAGTCATATTTATATTAATACAACTTCAATAGAAAAACTCCATAGCTACTGACATTTCCAACAGTCACCTCATTGCATCTGGTGCAGTTCATCTTAATTCTTCATTATAAAGAAATGACTCTGCAACTCTTTACACACAGCTACCTCTCTGAACAGTCTCTGCATTTTGTATTTTCAAAGTCGACGTTTAGTGGCAGGTAAAATTAGTCGAACTCCATCCTTGGGCGACAGAATAGTTAATAAAGCTAATAGCAACACAAACTCTATCGACTCAGTACTTCAGTCTGTGTGGGTGACAGGCTGCCTTTGCTTGCGTTCTTGCGCGTGATAGTGGAACACCGGGTGAGGATCTCCTGTGCCCGTGGCCTGGGTGGCACCTTGGGTGTTGACGGGCTCTTGTAGAGGTTGGGATCAGAGACGCTGGGCATCAGTTTCCCCTCGAAGGCAGTTGTCGGGCTGAGGCTGTGGCTCCCAGTAGGCTCAGGCGTACGGCTGAGACGCTGCTGATCCTCGTTGTAGCTCAGGCTCAGGTTGAAGGATGAGGAGCTCGCCCAGGAGGAGTTGAGGTCATCGCTGAAGTCAGTGCTGTCGCTCATAAGGCTCCCCTCGCTGTCTGCTCTCAGGAGGTGGCCACGCTGCTCCCTTTCTTCGTCCATCTCCACCATGATTGTGGGAGGAGGGACTTGGGCTGCAGACGTGGGTGAGGTGTTGGCACTGGTAGATCTAGCAGCGGTTTTAGCTGGAGGCGGAGGGGCGGGTCGGTCAGACGGGATTTCAAGAGAGAGTGATCTCTGATTCCTGTACTGTTGAGGGTAGTTGGGTGAAGGGGAAAGGGAGCGGGGTGAAGGGGAAAGGGAGCGGGGTGAAGGGGAAAGGGAGCGGGGTGAAGGGGAAGGGGAGCGGGGTGAAGGGGAAAGGGAACGGGGTGAAGGGGAAGGGGAGCGGGGTGAAGGGGAAAGGGAGCGGGGTGAAGGGGAAGGGGAGCGGGGTGAAGGAGACCTGGCAGGCGGAAGCTGCAGGATGTTTCCTTGTGAGAGGCTGAGCTGGTTGGACTGCTGCTCGAGGCTCAGGAATTGGTTTGGGGAGGAGGCCCGGCGGTCTGAATGGTGGCCTGTCATGCGGATCTGAGGGTAGCTGTAGGGCTGCAGGTACATGGAGGGGATGTAACCCGCCTTGCCATTGTATCTGTTGAAAACAAATACGAGAACATAGGATTTAAATGTGGATGAGTTAAAGGAATACTTCACCTACAAAATGATCATTTGCATATCAATTACTCGCCCTGTGTTATGCCTCCATGGTGAACGAAGAATCCAAAAACAGAAGATTCATGATGAATTTCCGCAAAAGGAAACAAACTATATCACAACATCTGTTTACAAACTGTCACACAACTCATGCAGTATAATCCCAGTCTCATTTATCCAGTTGTTTGCTCATTACTTCCAAAACACATGCATTTTTGCTAAAACTTTCATATTTAAAACACTTCTGTTTATGAGTAAGGTGCACCTGGGCAAGCACATGCATTTAAAGTCTTCACTGAGCAGAGTTAAACACACGCCCTAGTCCAAGCACACTACTCGTCCTTGCATAAGACTATTTAGGAAGGTTTGTAAATGGATGCTTTGTTATAGTTTTGCTGTTTTTAAACGTGGCCCCCTTTTACTCAAATTTATCAAGAATTTTTTGGATTCTTCGTTCACCATGGAAGCATGTCAAAAAAAGTTTTCTTCCAGAATTCAAGGGAACAAAGCTTGAGTTCATTCACTCAAAGCCTTGAGAATATAAAACAGTCTGTAATGAAGCTGGTATGATATTTGAAAAGTTCAGCCACTGTTGGATGGTGTTAAATACCTGATGAGCCACCAGCCGTTGTCAGACTTCTGCAAGCTCTCCACCACGGCACCGATGGCAACTGTTATCTCATCATCTTTGGTGCGCTTGTAGCTCCTGATTGCAGTGTACAGCATTCCTGAGAGTGAAAGAAAATACTTTAGTAATATTGTAGCATCTTGACCGACATTAACCCACTAAGGTAATGAAAACTTGTATGTATTATGTATGCAAATAAGCCAGGTGTTGATAGTGTGATGTCTTTGGATTGGGTACAACTGAAACTGTATCTGTACCTCTTTCAGGAGTCCCATCTATGTCATCTTCATCGTCGTCGTCATCATCCTCTAGCTTCTCCAGGTAGGGAGCAGGGAACCAGGCCATCCGCTTGTCTTCATTCTCCACAAGCCACCACCCTGAACCAACACAACCACATTGTTAACATTCATCAGTGCATTCAGATTAATGAGGTCTCCTTCAACCATTAACAGGACACTGAACACCGTGGCTCACTCACCTGCTTTGTCTTTGATGAGCACGTCTACTTTTTCGTCCAGTGCCACTTTGAAAGGCTTGTTCTTGGTGTCTTTGGTTTCGTACGGGGCCACGCATCTGTACGTCTCTGTGACAAACGGCTGGGTCACGTTACCGCCACCAACCTGTCCTGAATTGGTCGTAATTTCATCGTCTGTTGGCATGATGACGATGCTGCAGAGGAACAGCTGCGGGTTAATGTGGAGATAACACACTACAGGAAATACACAGAGTCAAATGCCTAAAGCAGGAATGCAGACTGGTCTACCAGGTTGTGTTTTAAAGGCTTCTGGTGTAAATACTACTTCAGCATTCGACATTTTCTTGGTCCATGTGCTTGCTGAGGAATTTAAAGTGTCTATTTTTGAGATTCTTTTACTTCTGCATGTTTTACAGAATCTACTGGGCCTTGTTTTCCCTATTTTTGCCACCATGACCATCTAAAATGTCAAAGCTCACTTCCCTGTAGAGCTTTATGTAGCTTGAAATCTTTGTGAGCAATGCCAAATACTTAACATTAATCTGAGCTGCTCTAGGGCCCCAAAAGCTATAAACAGTGTTGAGGAAACTAATTTGAAAGCATAGCTACCAATTATTTCACACTGGAAGAAGCTGAAAAGCTACTCTAGGAAGAAATCTAGTTTGGTTAACAAAAACTGCATACATGTGACATAAAATTATAACAAAATATGATGCAAAAATGCAGTTTATTGGAAGCAGTGCCCACTTGTTTACATGTCATATATAAATAAAAAATAAAATAAATACCCCACTATTCATGGGAAGGTGGGGGTAATGCACCAAGCAGGATTACTCAGTTAGCCAGGTAACTTCCACAACAACAACATCAACTTCTCTAACTAACCAACATCAACTTTTGTTAATAGCATTAAATCAATACAATGACTAATTGTGTTCAAAGGGGGTTCAGTTATGGTAGAGAAGCAATGATAAAATAAAATGCAAAATTCACTTTTTTAATGTCCCAAAATTGTTTCTAGTTTCAGTAATTAACTACCAAAAAATAGCAAGAAAGTAAATTTAAATACTGAATTCACAATGCAATGAAGAAAGTAGTTGAACTACCAGCAAACTGCTGTAAAATGTAGTTAAACTAGAGTAAAATCAAGTGATATCAGGTAAAATGAGATAGTCCTGTTTGTTTTTTTTTAAATGTTTAAATCCATGTATCAATACAGTCATTGAGTTATGAAATCATTATTGTTACCTGTGGCTTCTTTTTAAAAATTGTCATCCAACTTGTTTTTCCTGTTCTTTTGCAGCCTGTGTCTTTGCTGCCATGTTGTCTACATTAGATGTGTGTATGTGCTTCCAAGCGTAAGACTAATGGGTAACTCTGGACTATTGTGGCTGACATGGACTCCCTGCATCATCAATCTTAATTTTTTAAGTGACAAAAATACTGAAAATGTATGTAATATGACAGAATGGCACACTTTAGTAAAACATGTTAAGAGAAATTTCCCATTTTACTTGAATATTTGCAGTTTTTAAGTAATTAGTGCCCTACGTAAATTAAACCCGTCCAAAACCAAATCCACTGAATGACTGAAGTTTGTCTTAAAAAAAAATAGTGGAAGTTCTCTGAGGCCCCTCTTATCCCTTCAAGGCACAAAATGGTTTAGCCCGCCCCTGCACTAGGCTTCGTCTCTGGTTGTTGCTAGAACCAAGTGAGCGACTGCGTATGGTGCTGGAGCACCAAGGTACACTGTCATGTCTTTCCCCAGGAAATCAGTGTTCCAAAAAACCCAATCCAAAAAGGGAAAGAAAGCAAAATTATTTGGTAAAAAAAAAAAGATAAAATCAAAATCTGCATAAAGCATGGATCAAGAGAGAAATGGCGGGGGGGGGGGGGGGCCACAGAGACTGCTTATGCATAGAGCCCAGAATTTGGTGCTATGCCCCTGATTGAAATACTGAAAAACCCTTTTCCACAAAATGTAAAGTGTTTCATGTAAAGCACATTTGCAGTAACAATGCAAAACAATATTCAGTGACCCCAATGGTTACTACAGGGTGTAAGACCTTATTGGTCCTACATTACTTGACTTCACCCTACTAGTTTAATTACATGTTTACATGTTTACATGTTTACTACTCCTCCACACTGCCTATTATCATGTTTCACATACCTGTTCTTGGCGAACTCAGGCTGCAGGTCCTGGTCTTTGGGGTGGAAGAACTGGATGAGGTCTGCAGACTGACACACCTGTGCGTCGCAGCTCAGAAGCTTGTCACAGTATTTCTGCAGGACTTTGAGGCGCACTAGAGACTTGGTGGGACTTTTCTTCTGTCCGCCCTGGTTCACCTTTTTGTCTGCAAGCACACATGAAGCTTCAAGTCAGAATCCACACAGCCTGTAACTGTGACATACAAACGGCAGCTGTAATGCACCAACGCATACCTCCAAATTTGGGGATGATTCTGTCGGACTTCTTGGTTTTACTTGCGGCTGGGAATGCTTTCTTCAATTGTTTCTGTCATAAAGAAATAAGATAGTTGTTTATTATAAGCAACACCTGCACATGCGCAACCCATAGAGGAGCTACCGCATTTTATACTCACGTGCATTTTCTTGAATTCATCAAAAGTCCTGTAGACTACAATGTCATTCTGATCCGACCACAGCACGGAGGTCATGTACATCTGGAAAAGAAAATCAGATTTTATTCACACTGCAGAAAAGCGCAGATGTTTTACATACTGAGCAGAACTCCATCTGCACTTACTTTGTTCTTCTCCTTGTGCATCACTCCGATTAAACGGACACTGATGGGGTACCGCTGGGCCTCCATGATGAACCTACAGAGTCAAAGTGTGCTGAGCAGTCCAGGTGTGAGCTACTACAGAAGCCTCTCAGCCTCGCACTGCTGTTGGGACTGAGGGAGAGATGCTCGGCAGGTGCATTTATACCTCCTCCACCTCCTCCTCGCGCAGGTGGGGCATCATGGAAGACAATAGGCTACATCCTCGTCACTTGCAGGAAAGTCCAGCCTTTCTCCAGATGGATTGTGAGACTTCTTGACGTAATACACGTTTTTCTAAAGTCTTTATTGTAGTTTAGGTTGCGCGTGAAAGGGCGCACGTACGTGGTCACAGGCTTTGCCAGAGGAAACCTTCAGTGGCTGTGTTCCCACTTTTATTCAGGAAGTGACTTCAGTCCCTTCATTCTCCTTATTATTAAATTCTGATGTAAGGTGGATGTGGAGCAGGTGTATTTACAGCACAACAGTTGCAGGTGCTGATGACAGCTTATAGCAGGGGCGCAGCCAGACTGTGTAAATATCTGGGGCTCAGCCCAAATCAAAGGGGGGATTTCCCCCAGGGAGATCTTTTTCCCATTTACAGCAGCTGTATGCACTTTTGTCAAGCTAGTGGAGACAACAGAATGCCTAAAAGATGTGTACATCATGTGGGAAAAACAAGGGGCTCACTGACCTGTAAACTATCCTGATGACATTCTGTTTCGCACTCTGTATCCGTCTGGACTCGATTCCGCCCCAAACACTTTTGGTGGGCGAGTGGGAGTACTCGCCATGAGAGACAAACTCCTTAACCAATCAGCTTAACAAAACACTGGGGGACATCTTCATCACCAACGAAGCCAGTTGATAAAGCAAGCTTTTGCCAAATCCAGTAGGCAGAACAGTAAAAATGTCTTTCCCTCTGAGATACTTTGGGAGTGCATAATGTTTTGTTTAATTGATGTTACTGAGGGCGGTGCAGCTGTGCAGTGGTTCCCCGTGTCAGCATGGGCTCTCTCCGGGTACTCCAGCTTCCTCCCACAGTCCAAAGACATGCAGGTTAACTGAGTCTAAGTCTAAGTCTAAATTGGCAGTAGGTGTGAATGTGAGTGTGAATGGTTGTCTGTCTCTATGTGTCAGTCTGGTGACCTGTCCAGGGTGTACCCTGCCTCTCGCCCATTGTCAGCTGGGATAGTAGTAGTAGACCCTGACTGGCTGCTTATGTTGTCAACTACAGTGTGGATCCCTGATTGTCCCCGCTTGGATTTTAATTTCTGGAAAGTGTTTGGGCTAGCACCAAGATGATTCAGTTCTTTTTTAACTTGATATATTTTTTTTTTCATTTTATTCAGGCCTATAACATTAGAAAATGTTGTGTTTTTAGGTTTAATGTTTACTTGGGGCGGCTGTGGCTCAGAGGGTAGAATGGGTCGGCCACCGGCTCCTCCAGCACGCATGCTGAAGTATCTTTGGGCAAGATACTGAACACCAAATTGCTCCTGTGTCTGGTAGCCTCGTCTCGGCTACTAGTGTGTGAACGGGTGAGTATGACATGCAGTGTAAAAGCACTTTGAGTGGTCAGAAGACCATTTTACCATTTACTTAATTGGTGCTGCAGTCTGTGTCGAACTCATTTCTCATCTAAATACAGATTGCGTTGTGCTCATTGAAAATATAGGCTACAATATATATATATATAAAAAGGCTTGTTGCGTTTACTTTGTGTCAACTGTTTCAGACAATGAGGGAAATTAAGATGAGTAGAATCAATTATTAGTTTTCTTTGGAACTATTTGTTTCACTGTTTCATTCATTACTGCCACAAAATGCATGAAAATGTATTATTGTGTCTGTAACATGAAACTGTGGCGACTTACATGCACAACCCCTCTGTCTCAGTTCTGACTAGCTGCACTGATTTACAGTAAAATGCTGCAGACAGTGAATATACAGTACAGGCCAAAAGTTTGGACACACCTTCTCATTCAATGCGTTTTCTTTATTTTCATGACTATTTACATTGTAGATTCTCACTGAAGGCATCAAAACTATGAATGAACACATGTGGAGTTATGTACTTAACAAAAAAAGGTGAAATAACTGAAAACATGTTTTATATTCTAGTTTCTTCAAAATAGCCACCCTTTGCTCTGATTACTGCTTTGCACACTCTTGGCATTCTCTCCATGAGCTTCAAGAGGTAGTCACCTGAAATGGTTTCCACTTCACAGGTGTGCCTTATCAGGGTTAATTAGTGGAATTTCTTGCTTTATCAATGGGGTTGGGACCATCAGTTGTGTTGTGCAGAAGTCAGGTTAATACACAGCCGACAGCCCTATTGGACAACTGTTAAAATTCATATTATGGCAAGAACCAATCAGCTAACTAAAGAAAAACGAGTGGCCATCATTACTTTAAGAAATGAAGGTCAGTCAGTCCGGAAAATTGCAAAAACTTTAAATGTGTCCCCAAGTGGAGTCGCAAAAACCATCAAGCGCTACAACGAAACTGGCACACATGAGGACCGACCCAGGAAAGGAAGACCAAGAGTCACCTCTGCTTCTGAGGATAAGTTCATCCGAGTCACCAGCCTCAGAAATCGCAAGTTAACAGCAGCTCAGATCAGAGACCAGATGAATGCCACACAGAGTTCTAGCAGCAGACCCATCTCTAGAACAACTGTTAAGAGGAGACTGCGCCAATCAGGCCTTCATGGTCAAATAGCTGCTAGGAAACCACTGCTAAGGAGAGGCAACAAGCAGAAGAGATTTGTTTGGGCCAAGAAACACAAGGAATGGACATTAGACCAGTGGAAATCTGTGCTTTGGTCTGATGAGTCCAAATTTGAGATCTTTGGTTCCAACCGCCGTGTCTTTGTGAGACGCAGAAAAGGTGAACGGATGGATTCCACATGCCTGGTTCCCACTGTGAAGCATGGAGGAGGAGGTGTGATGGTGTGGGGGTGTTTTGCTGGTGACACTGTTGGGGATTTATTCAAAATTGAAGGCACACTGAACCAGCATGGCTACCACAGCATCCTGCAGCGACATGCCATCCCATCCGGTTTGCGTTTAGTTGGACGATCATTTATTTTTCAACAGGACAATGACCCCAAACACACCTCCAGGCTGTGTAAGGGCTATTTGACCAAGAAGGAGAGTGATGGAGTGCTGCGGCAGATGACCTGGCCTCCACAGTCACCGGACCTGAACCCAATCGAGATGGTTTGGGGTGAGCTGGACCGCAGAGTGAAGGCAAAGGGGCCAACAAGTGCTAAACACCTCTGGGAACTCCTTCAAGACTGTTGGAAAACCATTTCAGGTGACTACCTCTTGAAGCTCATGGAGAGAATGCCAAGAGTGTGCAAAGCAGTAATCAGAGCAAAGGGTGGCTATTTTGAAGAAACTAGAATATAAAACATGTTTTCAGTTATTTCACCTTTTTTTGTTAAGTACATAACTCCACATGTGTTCATTCATAGTTTTGATGCCTTCAGTGAGAATCTACAATGTAAATAGTCATGAAAATAAAGAAAACGCATTGAATGAGAAGGTGTGTCCAAACTTTTGGCCTGTACTGTATATCTGTGCAAAATACTGAACAGTGCAGCATTGTTAAAGCCAGATCAGGAAGTCTTTACCCACATTATTTTTTCACATTTCTTTCCTTTTGTGTTGGAAAGGAATAAATGTTTCCTCCTTTCTTTGTGAGCTGCAGCACGTACAAAAACACGAGCCACATTAATTGGGAATTGACTCTTGTGTAACTTGATATTGATATTACCAAGAAAGCCACTTTCTGGTTAATCATCAGCCTGTTGGTAACCATACAAAGGAACCCCCTCCCAAAAAATATTTGTTATTACTCTGCACATTCCTTAGTTGACGCCACATTGTTAATGTAAAACTACACTTGGCTGCCAAGCACCTATCCAAAACTTAATCCTAAAACTATGTTATGTTATATGAGAAAAGGCCTCTTTTATAGACATTTGGATCACTGCCTCCATTTACGTGACTTGTGTGTGTAAGGGGTTATAAGGTCAGAGGGATTGCCCTGTAGCCTTGATTTTTCACATCACTCATTGGTTGATTTGCTTGCATGCACCAGCACTGTAAGAGACAATGCAAAGTTGAATAGAACTGAACCTTAACTGCTGCAGAAGGTTAAGAGCAGGGCTGTCAAAAATATGGCCCGCCAAATGGTCCCACCCTGCTCATTGGATGACTGTGCACACTTAATACTGATGCACTTGTGAAGGCTAAGAGGTGACAGGTATAAGGAGAAAGTTCAACAGTGAGTGGGGGATTTATTGACATATTTTATGTCATAGAACAAAATGTGACAGTCTGTTAAGCTTGTGTTAACCACAGACTTTATTCCAGGCATCTAACCAAAAATCAAAAAACACTCAATAGGGTGACTATTGGCTTCTTTAGCCAACCTAAAGTGGCCAGTCTAAGAACTGCAATTCATTTTTCAGCCCTGGAGGTTTCCGCTTGGTGGAATGCTGCTTCAGAGGATTTTCCACCCTGACAAGAATGCAGCTCTCTGATCAAACAATGAACCCTTGTTTGAATCATGTTTAAAGATACTGAACATTGTGCAAACTGCTGTCAATCAGCAGCTTCACTGCTAAAAAATCTGTATCAGACTTCTGTCTTAAAACAATATTGATAGAACCTTACTGCTGAGGCACTGCCACAACATTTGCTTTGTAAATGGTTAGTAAGGCAGGGGGTAGCTTAACCTGCTTCTTCAATAGCTTGCACTTTAGTTTGGTGTGGTGCCAGCGTTACTACACAGGAGTGGAAATTTATATACAAGTGAGTAGTAGACATTTCAGGCTGTTCCTCATTTTGTAAATGGATGAATGTTTTCAGATTGTACTTCTTTACACTAAAGTAAGAGGAAAACAATTGGAGGTATTTTTATTTATAGGTTATTATGCAGCAGTTTTACCAGCCTGGCCCATTTGAGGTTAAATTGGGCTTTATGTGGACAGTGATTTGAACAGACAGAAACCAGTCATAGGGACTTGAACCTATTTCTTGTCCACTACTGACATCTAGTGCCGGCTGCTATGATCTCTGTGGTTTGAGCTCCTGCACAGGTTGCAAAG